CCCCAAAACCCCAAAACCCCAAAACCCCAAAACCCCAAATCTCCAAAGTGGATTTGAATTTTATAGATTATTTAAAAATGAACGAAAATATAGCTCGGAGTGAACACATGGGCTACAACTCGAACATGTCAGGCGATATAATGCATTCTTACCAAGTATTATATGATGAACACCAAGAAGTAATGAAGGAACTTCTAGACTGTAGGGATTGTCTAGAAAAGGAGATATCTGAAAAGCAATCCCTCATGAAGTTTTACCAGAACCTAAAACATCAGCTTCAATCCAAAGTTGATGAAAATGACACTGACAAGAAGAAGATCAGAGAGCTTGAAATCAGTTACCGAGAACTTGAGGAGCAAGCCAAAGCGGAAATACGAACTGTTAAGGCTAAAAGTGAACACCTCAGGAGAGAAATGGAGGATAAAGAAGACCGAATTACCAGACAAGTTGATCCAGAGGTCCAAAGAGTCAAAATTAAGAAAGAAGTCCAAGCCACCTTTCACTCTGAGCTTAACTCAAAGCAGTATCAGATCGATAAACTTTCTGAAAATCTCCATGAAAGTAAGCGAAGTCAAGAGACCTTAAAACTTACATTTGACTGGTACAAAGAAGAAAAAGAAAAAGAACTTACTTCAATTAAAGAGAAGCATAAAGCTGATATGAATGAGATGATCATGGAAATGCAGAATCTCCAACACCGTCTAGATGGTAAGCCTTTCTACAACAATATAGACTCAAATGAAAAGGACCTTATTCGTGAAATAAAACGAGAGGCTGATGATTATAAAAGAAAATACCAAGAAATTCAGAACCTCCTCACTGAGGTCAAGAAGGAGCGGGATGACCTTCGCTCTGAAAAATCAGACCAAAGTCTTAAAATCCTTAAAGACTATGAAAAAGAGAAATTCTCCATAAAAGACCTTCAATCTGAGATTGAAAGAATGAAGTTCAAGATAAGTTCGTCCGAAGATGAGCTTCAAAAAGAAGTCAGCTCTGGGGAAGAGAAGAGCAGAGAAATCCAGTCCCTTAAAATTGACATAAGCTCTCAAGAGTCTATCATTAAAGAAAAGGAAAGAATGATTGCTACTCTTACCAGACAACTCAATGACTCAAAGGACGACCTGAAGACCAAAGAAAGAGAATTCAGGATTACCCTTGAGAAGATGTCTGATGATGAAAAGCACAGAAGCAAAGATGATAAATTCCAGATTGAAACCCTCAAAGACACTATCAAAGATCTGGAACAAAAACTCTACAAGCTAGATGTCAAGACCAAGAAGGAGATTGAAAGACTCGAGCAGGACAATGACAAGAATATCAAGGAATCCAGTATCCTCAATTCTGAAAATAAAACCTTGAAAAACAAAGTCAATAGCTTAGCTTTAGAGCTAGAGATTCATAAAAAGACCAATATTACCAGTAATCTCCCCTCTGACTTCCTGTAGATGAGAAAGCAATAGCTGAGTGAAAATAATGAAAACAGAGAATACAGAGCTACAGAGAAAGAAAACGCTTACAAATTAGAAGAACTTGAAAGAAAGCTCAGAATAGCAACAGAGAGTAATAAAGATGAAGTGGGAGACCTAAGAGAACGAAACACTGTTTTAAAAGCTGAAAATGCTACCCTCAAGAAAAACCTTAAAGATCTCTCAAATATCCATCAAAGGAAGAAGGATAGCTTGCAGGCTCAGATCAGGGAGCTAAAGACCAAGTCAAATGATTACAAAAATAAGGTCAAAATAGCTAATGAGAAGATCAATACTCTGGGCACCAAAATAGCCCACTTGGAGCTGGAATACAGGAATGTTCAGAACGAAGAGTATTAATTTCAATTATAGTAGAATCACGAGGGGTTTTGGGGTTTTGGGGTTTTGGGG